TATAAAATTACGATTATTTAATAAATTACAGTAACCTGTATTACCGACTATTAGATTATAAACGTCTTAAAATTATTTTAAATAACGTCGTTTAGACATCTTAAATTAATGTCTAAAAGACGTCTTAAAATAATGTCTACAAGGCGTCTTAAAATAATATCTAAAAGACGTCTTAAATCGGGACATAAGTCGTCTTAAAGACGTCATAAAGGCGTCATTCTGACAACTTTTTAAGACGTTTAAAAAATTTTAAGACGTCTTTTAGACGTCATATTGTTGTGTGGGATATTACAGCAAAGTTGCAAAAACAATATTGTGCAATATTATTTCTGCAATATTGCAGCTATATTGCAAAGATATTAATTTGCAGTAACAATTGAATATCCGTGGACGAATGTCCTATGCGACGCTAAATGCTTTAACCTCCTCTTTTTACCTCCTTTTTTAACCTCTATTCGTTGGTAGATGTTACAAAAAAACTTAACTGCGATTGTTCAATTTTTAAGGATCTGCAAGAGCCACACTAGAGACCTCTCGCGGAGATCTGTGAACTAGATAAAATTATATTGCAAATTATGAACAAAATGCAAAGAGAATCACCTTATAGGTATGATATTTGCAATCAGGAGAAACGTCCGCAGAGTCGTACAAAGCGCTTTTTTGGAAAAAAAGTCAAAATAAAAATCGATTAAATAATTTGAATGAACGTTCATCCCGCGGTGCAGCACGAACCTATATTTTCGTTTATTACAAATTTTCAAGAAACTAAATGCAAAATCGGGCCCTGTACGACCCTGGATATTAATATAAGGAAGATGTCCATGTATGTCTAATAAGCAAATATGATGTATGCGTGGCAAAATTTGTAAGTGTAAATAACAGGAAAGTGTAGCCCAGTTACACTATAGTGCAGTCTATATGACCTAACCTTCCTGCCTTGCGTTCGCGCGAGCAATGCATTAGTCAATTCTATTCAATTCAATAGATGGCTCTGGGCGTGTGGGTTGCCGCCACAGATGTCTATACTATATTAGATTGCCAACTTCTCAAAAGAGCTGTGTCCCGCCCATTTTCCGGTTCGGCCATGAAGACCGCCAAGCATGGCGGCGGTGTGTGTTTGTAGTGTGTATGTGAATACCCGATGCGTATGTAGTAGTGCATGGTAGTGCGTATGACACCTGATGTGTCTACTACTATTTATGTTAGTAAAACTGCAAATCTACAAACGAGATAATGCCGAATAAGTATTGTAAATTTCAAAAATACGAACAAGAAAGAATATCATTTAAAGATGTGTGTATTAATAAGGTGTTGCTAATCTAAGTGTTTGGTAAAGGTTAAAATTAAATTGAATATATACAGTTCAAAATATGTCAAAGTATTTATATTAATATTTTTTACATACATATAAAGAATAAAATGCAACTTATGTGTTATTAAATAATATTAATTTTGTAAATTTGTGTCTGTTACTTGCAGGATTTCTATCTTTCGTTGTTTTTGTAAGTGAATACACTCTAATATTAATAATATTAATAATATTAACATAATATTAATAATATTAACAATGTTTAATTGCAAGATAACCCTCACATATTACAAACCTCGAACATTTATTATATATAAATGTATTCTACTTACTTAAATAAGTGATATCCTTGTTTATTCGTATTATTGCAATTAACAATGCAACATGTACTTGGCATTATCTCGTTTATATATATGCAGTTTTACTAATATAAATAGCAGTAGATACGACACATCAGTGTAGACACATCAGGTATCACATATTTACAGTACAGCACTACTACACACGCATCGGATACTCACGTACGCACTACAAACACACACCGCTGCCATGTTTTGGCGGTCTTCATGGCCGAACCGGAAAATAGGCGGGACACAGCTCTTGTATAGGTCAAAGATCGAAGTTAGCAATCTAGTATAGTATAGACATCTGTGGTTGCCGCTCCAACGCCACTCTCTGATTAGTGTTCACCAAAGAAATGTTGATATTGACAGAGAGAAACCTGAGCGGCCACCGGGCGAAAGCATATGTGTGGGGACTTTGAGCTCCCCAAAAGCGCACGCATCCGTTTTCCGTGCGGCGCTATAGAGCGCGCGCAAGTGTCACTCGTGCGGGAAAAAGGACCAACGAGCCAACAGTAACCGTTGGAAGCGCACACAGAGCTCACGAATATACGATCGCTAGTATATAGTTAGTCATTCCTTTTTTGTCGTGTGTGACACCGCGAGATCTGCACGCGGTCGCGATTGTGCGAGAGCGGGCAGGCAGGAGCATCGGCTCCGTTCGACACACACACACATATACATACGAGTCCCGCAGTGGCTCATATGTCGTGCGAGCGCAGAGAACTATTTTTTCTTGTTGTAAACGATAAGTTGTACCTGTGACTCACGTGCTCTGCAGCTGGCAGGCACGTGCGCAATAAAGGGACCAAAGAAGAACACGCCTAGGTTGATTTAGGAACCTATCCTCCACTTGCATCAGCGAGAGAGCAAGAGGACACAAAAACCCTAAATATGTCTGTCCTGATACGCCCCCTGAGAAAATAGACGTCAACTAACTCGATATGTCGGTAACGATACGAGGTTTATGTCTATGATTTGAATCTGGTTAATGTCCGAGCTACTAAAACAGACTATAGTGAAAATGACATATATATATATATATATATATATGAGTAAGAGAAGGATAACAATTGAATCGCTTTGACCTTGTCTCACCACTAGTGAGCAGACACGTGACACAGGCACAAATAATGTTGGAAATTCTTAGACGCACGGTCGAGGCTTACCCCCACCACTCGGTTTTCTCTGTCTTCTCACGCGCTTGGCGCACTGAGCGAGATTGAGATAGTCCGTTCATGCTCGCCTTGTCGCACTTTGAGCCAAACAACTTACTCATGATCAGTGATAGCAGATTTCAACCTAGCGGCTCCGCGTCTCACGGTGGAAGGGGAAACGCGCAACGAAAGCCGCATACATGTGGCACATGTACGCCTCTTTCGTTTGTATGCGTTTCCCTCTCGACCGTGACACATAATGGGCCAGAATATCTGTAAATGTGTAAATGTGGCCAAAAGACAATATCCGCATTGATCTAAAATAAAGTTATTATTGTATTAGAATGTTTGAAAATAGTTATAAGAGAAATGTTACGTTGATTGGATTGTTTTTTTATCAGTCTTAATAGGATGAAATTATAAAATACATTAACACTTTTTTTCATTTTCTTTACTTTATCGTTCATATATTAAACAATTATATATTATTTTTTGGACCTTTAGTTAACGAATATGATGAGCGAAGATTAAGAATGAAAAATATATAAAATTGGAGGAAATAAAAATAAATTATAATATATTACATTCTCTTTTATTGCATTATTACAAGTATATTAATCATAACTACTCATTTCCGATTTACCATTCCCCGTAATTTCACTTTCAAGAAAGAGCATTCTAAGTTATATATGCTGCTTATGATATATATTTTTAAAAAAAGTTTTTGCTACTTTTTGATACTTTTGTTACATAACGTAAGCAAACTTATGTAAACAAGTCATCGCCTATATCTAAAGGTCCGTACTGACTTGCTGATTAATATCGCAGTGTAACAGTACCTTTAGATATAGACGATGACTTGTTTACATAAGTTTGCTTACGTTATGTAACAAAAGTAGCAAAAAGTAGCAAAAACTTTTTCTTAAAATATATATCATAAACAGCATATATATCTTAGAATGCTCTTTCTTGAAAGTGAAATTACGGGGAATGGTAAATCGGAAATGAGTAGTTATGATTAATATACTTGTAATAATGTAATAAAAGAGAATGTAATATATTATAATTTATTTTTATTTCCTCCAATTTTATATATTTTTCATTCTTAATCTTCGCTCATCATATTCGTTAACTAAAGGTCCAAAAAATAATATATAATTGTTTAATATATGAACGATAAAGTAAAGAAAATGAAAAAAAGTGTTAATGTATTTTATAATTTCATCCTATTAAGACTGATAAAAAAAACAATCCAATCAACGTAACATTTTTCTTATAACTATTTTCAAACATTCTAATACAATAATAACTTTATTTTAGATCAATGCGGATATTGTCTTTTGGCCACATTTACACATTTACAGATATTCTGGCCCATTATGTGCCACGGTCGAGAGGGAAACGCATACAAACGAAAGCGGCGTACATGTGCCACATGTATGCGGCTTTCGTTGCGCGTTTCCCCTTCCACCGTGAGACGCGGAGCCGCTAGGTTGAAATCTGCTATCACTGATCATGAGTAAGTTGTTTGGCTCAAAGTGCGACAAGGCGAGCATGAACGGACTATCTCAATCTCGCTCAGTGCGCCAAGCGCGTGAGAAGACAGAGAAAACCGAGTGGTGGGGGTAAGCCTCGACCGTGCGTCAAGAATTTCCAACATTACTTGTGCCTGTGTCGCGTGTCTGCTCACTAGTGGTGAGACAAGATCAAAGCGATTCAATTGTTATCCTTCTCTTACTCATATATATATATATATATATATATATGTCATTTTCACTATAGTCTGTTTTAGTAGCTCGGACATTAACCAGATTCAAATCATAGACATAAACCTCGTATCGTTACCGACATATCGAGTTAGTTGACGTTTATTTTCTCAGGGGGCGTATCAGGACAGACATATGCTTTCGCCCGGTGGCCGCTCTCAGATTTCTCTCTGCTATATTCTGTGTAGTAGCTCAAATATGAACCAAACTATTACAGACAAACCTCGTTACCGAACGACATCGACGTAGTTGACGTCTAGTTTCTCAGGGTGCGTGTGACGTAGTTGATGTCTATTTTCTCAGGGGGCGCGTCGAATTCATAAAAATTTCTGAACCTTCGCTGATGGCCGGTAGAGAGTGGCGTTGGAGCGGCAACCTACACGCCCAGAGCCATCTATTGAATTGAATTGAATTCGCTGATGGCCGTCCTCAGGTTTCTCTGTGGTTGTATTCAGTTTAGTGCAGTTCTAGTGCAGTATTAGGTCAGTTAAAAAGAATAAACCTTTTGTTCTACTGAACGCGGCCATTGTTCTGTAGGTTCCGTAGGTTATTCGTTCCGTCTACAAAGTTACGAAATAATTATAGTATAAAATTGGCTTGGTTTATAACGAGGTTTTAATACGTGTAAACTAGCATATTGTTTCTGATTGTTCTCCGTTTTTATTTTTATTATTAGCAAAATGAATGTATTAAAAGCAGAAATAATGAGAAAACGTAAAGAGTTGGAGGATAGCCATGTTTTGGTATGTATTCGTATATCGTGAATTTTTTGCGTATGTAGGATTTAAGATTAGATAACACGTTTACACCATAGAGATAAGCTATATTTCGTTATTTATTGCAAGTATATTGTTAACGCTGTGAATAGTGTATCTATATAAGTTGCAATACGCCGTAAAAATATAATTCCAGATGCATTATGTCATTGTAATTATCATAGCTATATAGTAAGATGGCTATATAGTAAGACAGCTATTTTCTCTATTATTTATTGAACTGGTCTTAATTAATATTTACAAATAAAGCATATATTATAAATTTCAATTTAAGAGAAATTGTAAGAATGTGTGTGTTCAAAATAATAAAGATTTTTGCTTTTAGTTGAAATCCACATATATACACATATATATATATACATAATTGTTTATATAATAATAGTAAACAACGGTTATATGTAAATAATAGATGCAAGCTACAGCTATAGCTATGTACTATTAGTCAATATGATCTATTTTTGTTATATCTATGGTTTCTTCATACTTCAGGGATGAATGTTTATATTAAGGTGTTTCTTACAGGAGAATAATAGAAAATATTTCAAAAGAAGTCAGTTAATATCAAAAGAAGAAGAAGTACATGAAACTGACAGGAAGAATAATGAAGTCACACCATTAAGTGTAAGTCAACGGTTAGAAGAGTGTGTAACAGATAGCTCTGAACATTTGATGCTATCTAGACAAGAAGTAATTAGACGATTACGGGAACGAGGAGAACCTATATTATTATTTGGAGAATCAGAGGTGGAAGCATTCAAAAGATTAAGGAAATGTGAAATTCTCGAGCCAGAAGTAAACAAAGTAAGATTCTTTTATATTTAATCATTTCGTTTAGCAATAATGTTTTTATGCAAATAATTGTTGACTGAAAATTTCTTGATATTGCTCAACAGGGCTTCAGAAACGATTTTCAAGAGGCTATGGAACAGGTGGATCAAGCATATCTTAATGAGATCTTGACATCCTCCAAGTCTCAAAATCTTGATGGGAAAGGAGATGTAAATGTACCTGATGAAGAAGTTATCTATGAAGATATAGAGAAGATGTCGACCAAACTGAACAAGGGAGACAAGGACTTTGACATGAATGTTATCACTCTGTTTGTGCAATATCTGGTTCAAATATGGGGTAATCAATTAAACAGTCGAACAGCTGCTGAAAAGATGAGCAGCAAGGGCAAAATGAACAGTGCTACCTATGCTCAAACAAGAGAATATTTGAAGCCACTTCTGAGGAAACTAAAGAATAAGTCTCTGCCGGAAGATATAACTGATAGTTTAACAGAGATTGTTAAACATTTGTTGCAACGTAATTACATACTAGTATGTATTAGTGCAACATGTCTAATAATTGTAAATATTTGTTTATTGAATAATTTATAACAGAAACATTGATTACACTCATTTCAGGCTAGCGATGCTTATTTGCAAATGGCTATAGGTAATTCTCCATGGCCTATCGGTGTGACTATGGTCGGTATCCACGCACGTACTGGAAGAGAAAAAATCTTCTCGAAGAATGTCGCTCATGTTATGAATGATGAAACACAGAGAAAGTATATTCAAGCGCTAAAAAGACTGATGACTAAATGTCAAGAATATTATCCTACGGATCCTTCGCGTTGTGTGGAATATTCAAAAAATTAAATACAGTTAAATAAAGGCATTGACTTATGTGATGATATACAAAATGAAGTAGAATGTATATTTCAAGTTTGTATTTATAGTTCAAGATTAATATTTTAATCGAATATGTAATAATGGAGATGTAAATATATATTGTTGCTAAAAAAGACTGAATACTTAATTATGTGTTTTTTAAATAAATTAAGTCAATTATTGATAATAAATAACATTTATTAAAATTAATAATTTATAATATTTTAAATGGCTAAATACTAAAATTACATAGAAATAAAGTTAGTAGAGCGATATATCATACATATGTATTTATTTTATATGTCTCTGTAATATTTTTTTATAAAAATTATTCAAAATTATATAAAAACAAAAAATTTATTTTAGATTCTATTCTTCGAGTCTTTTGTTCTGAGTTCTCTTACAAAGGCAAATATCTCAGTTTGTATGTTGCATAATATAAATTTAATTGTGTCAATTATTTCTATTACTAAAGATATTACTGATTAAAATAATACCTATAAAATCAAATGCAAGTAAATATATGTTACTTCAAATATTACTACTGTGACTCAAATTATTATTTATCAGATTTAGCTCAGCATGGACTTATTGCAATTCATTCGTTTTATTTACAGCAGCCTCAACTGCATTGATCATAGATCCTCTGCAAAATACAATAAATAAAAAATAGTATCCAGTCTGATATCTAAATGTACAAATGATTAATAAATATATATATATATGAGGTACATTTTATTTATATTTATGCAAATAACTCAGAAAATACCTAACGCCACCGATTTCCATTGCGTGAACACCAGCGATAGTGACACCTCCGGGCGAGCAAACTTCATCCTTCAGATGACCAGGATGTTTTCCAGTTTCAAGCACCATTTTTCCAGCACCTACTAATACTTGAGCTGCAAATTTAGTCGCCATTAACCTTGGTACACCCATCTTCACAGCACCATCTGATAATGCTTCTATGATGAGATAAGCCTAAACACAATAATTATCTGAAATTGTAACTGCTTTTTCTTTTTTCTCTTTTTCTAGTAGCATAATTATGAAGACTTACAAATGCAGGACTACAACCTGACAAAGCACCAGTAGAATTCATAAGTGATTCTGGAATACTTTCACAGATACCAATGTGACTGAACATTGTATTCATCAACTTTAGATCTTGTGAATAGGCATTTTGACTGCAATAAACTAAAAATTACACTTGCATTAACATACAATTGCATTAACAAAAATTAGTCTAGATATATAGTATTTGTGACTCACCTATAATCCCTTCTCCAATCATCATAGGTGTATTTGGCATAGATCTAATTATTCTTGGAAATTCTACAATATCTTGGATTTTCTGAAAATATTTCATAGCTTTTAAAAATATTTCATACAGATTGCCATACAAAATTATTGAAACAATATAATATATACTGATATAAAATTTTATTTTTACTTACACTATTTAAGACATTTAGAGGTATTCCAGCTAGCACTGAGATAAAAAGTTTGTTCTTATATTTCTTGTATGCTGATTGTACCATAATATTCATAATGACATTGTCTAGCATATGTGGTTTAATCGCCAGAAACACAACATCACAATTGTCCAAAACCTCGCAACTGTTCAAGGTCGGATGAGTGTCCAGTTCTTTCCAAAAACTATGTGCTCTGGTTGTGTAAGTGGAAACCCAACATTTGTCTGGATCTAATATACCTGTTGTAACAAAATATATCAGTATTTTCGAATAAACATTTTTGCTTCATTTGTCAGTTTATTACAGAGAGAGGGAGAAGAAGAAGGAGAAAGAAAGGAAGGAAGGAAGGAAGGAAGGAAGGAAGGAAGGAAGGAAGGAAGGAAGGAAGGAAGGAAGGAAGGAAGGGAAGGAAGGAAGGAAGGAAGGAAGGAAGGAAGGAAGGAAGGAAGGAAGGAAGGAAGGAAGGAAGGAAGGAAGGAAGGAAGGAAGGAAGGAAGGAAGGAAGGAAGGAAGGAAGGAAGGAAGGAAGGAAGGAAGGAAGGAAGGAAGGAAGGAAGGAAGGAAGGAAGGAAGGAAGGAAGGAAGGAAGGAAGGAAGGAAGGAAAAGGAAGGAAGGAAGGAAGGAAGGAAGGAAGGAAGGAAGGAAGGAAGGAAGGAAAGGAAGGAAGGAAGGAAGGAAGGAAGGAAGGAAGGAAGGAAGGAAGGAAGGAAGGAAGGAAGGAAGGAAGGAAGGAAGGAAGGAAGGAAGGAAGGAAGGGAAGGAAGGAAGGAAGGAAGGAAGGAAGGAAGGAAGGAAGGAAGGAAGGAAGGAAGGAAGGAAGGAAGGAAGGAAGGAAGGAAGGAAGGAAGGAAGGAAGGAAGGAAGGAAGGAAGGAAGGAAGGAAGGAAGGAAGGAAGGAAGGGAGAGAGAGAGCGAGAAAGAGTGAGTGAGAGAGAGAGAGAGAGAGAGAGAGAGAGAGAGCGAGAAAGAGTGAGAGGAAGAGGAAATATGAGAGAGAAATAAGAGGATAAAATTACCTTTTTTAATTAAACCACCACCTATAGCACTGGCCATATTTCCGCCTCCGATAAATCCGACTTTAATGGATTTCAATTCCTGTTCCTCCATCGTTGACTATGTAATCTTGATTATATTTCGTACTCTGTATTATAAGATTTAAAAAGAGAGATCGTCTATTTCTCTATTCTTTTCTCTTTCAATCTCTCTCCTTCTTGATCCTCCTCCTTAGTTTGTAAAAAGAGGGATGTTCAGGATGTTAAGGTTCCGAGCGATTAATGTGAACTCTTCTTATTATGAACAAGAATATAAGTATATATATTTTAAATGAACAATAATACAATAGTATCCGACACCGCAATTTATATCAAATATATCTCTTTACAAAGCTTAACGCTCTACGACTTTTTCTTCGACTCGACTCTATTTCTATTATTCGTCTCAACGTTAATTGGCAAAAAGCTAAAGGCAAAAAGCTCCGTCTTTCTCCGTGTGTCTAATTTTATCCTTTTCTCCATCTGTCGAATTTGATCTCTTAGGACCGGCCTTTCTCCCGTGGCTCCCCCGGAATAGACTGGTGCTGTCATCCCTCGTCTGTATCTTACAGTATGATTCTAGGTTTGTTCTTTTTCGAAGCACTTTCTGAACTAGTGTACACTAGTGCAAGAAGTGTACATACACCAAAGCGTTCTGTTTTATCGGAAATAACGTCGACATCGCTGTTCTTTTTTGAAGTGCAACAGCGGTCAGTGCAACAGTTCAGTGCACTGGCTGCCCCAGATCTTGAGCTAGTGCAGCCAGTTTAGCGGTGTCTAGTGTAGCCAGTTTAGCGGTATCAAGTCAAAGAAAGAAAATCTGTGTTTCATCACATCTTTATTGTAATTATTTGTTTTAATTCACACAGACAATGTATATTTCAATAATTTTTTTTCTTGATATATATTCTTAAGACTATTCTCCTGAATAATCCTAATAAAATAAAATAAAATAAAATTTGTAAATATATTAAAAGGAAATAATGGAAAATAGAAATGAAGAAATCGCATATATACAGAAGGATGTAGAGGGAAATGTTATAATTAATAATGGATACGTCACCTGTCTCTGAAAATATTAAATTTTTTATCTAAACACTACAAATTATGTAAATAATCAAATAAAGAATTAAGTTACATGATATATTTGCAGGTGGCATACAATTTGAATTGAGTTACAATAACATTAATTTTGATTGTAACCAAATACAGTGTTCTGTTGATGGTAAAACATTAATAATACCATTACGTGATGATGTTGTAATTGTAGATCAAGAAACAAATAAAGAAAATGATGCTGCGATATGAACTGAATATAATACATTTACCTGGTGTGATGCAAGTACAAAATTATTTTTAAGTATTTATAAAGAGATGAATAAACTGTTCAAGAATAGAAAAATTGCTACAAAAAAAATTTTATGGAATAAGATAACAATACAAATGAATAGTAAAGGATACAATGTAAATGTAATTCAAGTCGAGGACAAGTACAAATCTCTCGAAAGATCCTATAAAAATATGATCTCCAATAATAAAAAAAACAGGTAGAGGTCGTATGACGTGTCCGTACGAAATGTAAGTATGATATATTGAGTTAATTGAGTTAAAATAAAAAAATATTGTGTGGAATATATTAATAAAAAATATTTATAATTATTACAGAGAATTGACTGAATTATTAGGATCAAAACACAGTATCGAACCATTAGCAGTGTCTGGTAGAGAAGGCCTCATTATAAGAAATGACGGGGCAATAGAGAAATAGAGAATTTGTAAGTAGTGCATACATACTTAAATCCTACTTATTTTAATATTATTATATATATCTAAAAAAATATATAAATCTAAATTAATAGGGGCTTATAACATCTTACTAGTACCTAACATCTTTAATTAATATGTAGAATAATGAAAGTTAAGAATAGGTAAAGTTTCATGTTCATGTTTTAGTTACTTATTTATTATCTATTTATTTAGACCAATAGATGATAATAATGATAATCAATCTATGGATGAGCCAAACATACAAAGTGCACTGGCAACAGATGTACCAACTTCAAAACAGAATTTTGAGACTCAAAACATTGCAAGTAATTGTTCCAAGCAATTAAGTTGAACAAAAATATTTTTTAGTGATGTATAACTAGTTTCAGATTAATCAGAAACATATGTTACAGACATTATTTAAAAAAAATGAGAGAAAACAAATAAGCACTATAGCTCGATTTTTAGAAAGTTGCCAAAAAAGTAAAATCAAACTGTCAACGGACATTGTTGAAGGTAAAAATATTAAGAATGAGATACAAAAGGAGTTGTTAAATGTATATCAAAAAATAAGAATTGCAGAAGAAGAATGTGTCGAACAACTTAAAAAAGCTAATAAATTGAAAGAGGAAAAAAATCGACTACTCAAAGAATTTCTACACTACTCAGTACAAAAGAATGAAATGTTTATTTAATATCAGTTAAAGTCTTACAGTAATTTTTTTTTAATTTTATAGTTAAATTTTATAGTTTTTATAGTTAAATATAAAATTTTATAGTTAAATATAAAAATTATTTTTAAATGAGAGTTTATTATGAAAGTCTTATTTCAAGAAGTTGTATTTGAAGTTTCTATGTTCCCATACAGCACAGGTAGATTCTAAGCAGATTCTCAGTATATCGCAAACATAAATTGCGATTATTCTATGAATATCCGAAATACGTACTGTAATATTTTGAGAATATACTGAGAATGTTCCTATGTCCGCTTTCGCAGTCTACTTAGTGTATACTGAGAATATTTCGTATTATATTATAGGTATATCTAAATAATATTTTAATAATATTACTAGTATCGATTAGAAATATTTCCTAGTTTATTGTTAGTATATTTGTAGAATATTTATATAATATATAAATATTCTGCAGGTTTTCTTTGAGTATAATAAAAATGACAAATTGGTTATATATTATATATGTTATAATATATATTTTTAAAATTAGTTTAACATATAAATTAACTCTTTATACATATATAAATAAACATATAAATGAACTCTTAACAAACTTATACTGCCTTTATAAACTATAAACTTTATAAATTATAACTCTTCATAAATTATATATATATATATATGTAAAATCTAAAATAACTCAATTATTTTTTTGTTTATTTGCACATTTTTTTCCTTTGCATGAGCCAGCTAGATCTTGATGGGAGCAGAAATTTGTTCGTCTGTTGCAGTTGTATGCGACTTTCTTATCACACTTGGAATATAATATTTAAAAATCAGTGTAATTAGAGAGAGAGAGTGTGTTTTCTTTAAATAAATATCTGTTCTCATTTAAGTTCCTTAAAAGAAAGTTGAAAAATTTTATGTTAATGTAAATATATAAATAAAGAGATTACTTAAATATTTGTTTAAACATTTGGTAATTATTTAGAAAAGGCATACCGCCTCCAATTTTGCTAAAACTCACGTATCATATATATTTTGACTCGTAGAAACCGGATCCAAAAGTAAAAATAGTTACTCAACTCTATAAAGCAAGAAAAAAATTGTTAAAGATAGAGGTATGATAGGTTAGGAAACCTGTCATTGCAAGGTAAAGTTTCTTCGTTGTACTTACTGTATTAGTGTAGCGCAGTATACAACTAAACTTTTATAATTATTGTACATAAGATAGGACTTATTTTGAATTGTACACAAAATAACTCCTATCTTGTGTACAATAATTATAAAAGAATATATCTTTAAATCTTCGCCTTATATGTACTAAAATGACAGATTCTAAAAAGGTTAGCAAAGGTCCCTAGGGACAAGGGAGAGTGTATCATTAATCAGAAGCAGAAGAATGTAAATATATGCTATCTCATTATGTAGGACTGATCTTGTTCCTCTTGTTACGCAATAAAATAACATATGCTATGATTCTTCCGCTTTTGATTCATGATACATTCTCCTTTGCATAGGAGCCTTTGCTAATCTTTTCAGAATCTGTCATTTTAATATAAGGTAGACTCATCACTTTAGTAAGGCAAAGATTTAAAAATATATTCTTTTGCAATTATTGTACACAAGATAGGTCTTATTTTGAATTGTACACAAAATAACTCCTATTTTATGTACAATAATTATAAAAGAATATATCTTTAAATCTTCGTTTAAATCTTACTAAATCAATGAGTCTACCATACATTAAAATGACAAATTCTGAAAAGATTAGCAAAGGCCCCTATGCAAGGTGACATGTGACAAAATTATTTATATAAATATTCTTAATTTAAGTATTTTCATTTAGTTGTTATACTGCACTACGCTAATACAATAAGTGTAACGAACAGACTTTACCTTGCAATGACAAGTTTCTTAATCTATCATATTCTATCTTAAACAATATTTTTCTCGCTTTATAGAGCCGAGCAATGATTTTTAATTCAGATTCGGCTTCTACACGTGAAAATACATAAAATATGTGAGTTTTAGCAAAATCGGAGGCGGCGTGCCTCTTCTAAATTATCAATTATGCTATTAATTAAAAACTAAGATTTACAATTCTGTATGTATATTCTGATTGTATATTTTACTTACATATAATTATTTTGCACAATTGTAAGTTGCTGAAGACATTTTTCTTTTTCGCTCCATACCAGCTGTATTCCATGGTTAATTCATTGCTGAAGATTTGTCTAATTAATCTTACACATGATGTTTTTAAATCCTCGCATACAACTCGAACCAATTGTTTAATCTGAAATGTAAGTACAGAGTTAATATTAGTTCAATATTTCGTCTAATGACATTTATTAATTTATATATATTATGACTCTATGGATCCTCTCTGAGACTATCTTTAATTATGTCAAAAGTGAGAAATTGCACGACAAAAATTATTACAGCATACGTTAAAATAAAAAGATATGTCTATTAAACAACAGTTTCTCTTCCAATCGAGGCAAAAAAATATGTAAAATGTTCTGAATATTTTCCTGTTATTATGATAATGAATAGTCCCTGACAGCACAAGAAAGCACTTCTGGGAATGTCCCAAGAACATTCTGAGGATATTGCTATATCCTCAGAATGTATGCAGGATGTTCCTTGGATATCTGTGCTGTTAGAAATAGTGCGTTTTAAAGATTTAAGAGTTTTTTTTAAACAAGAAATATGGTCTAACACACAAAAGAGTCTTATTAGAGACTCAGGATTCAAAGATATTAAATATTTTGGGAGATTTTACAACAGAGAAGAGAAGTAACCATGATTTAGGAATTTCAACGAAGAAAGATATTTTGTTACTTTCATCAACAGGTTAAGAGCTAACCATTATAATTTTAATGAGTCTCTTCACAGAAAGGGATATATATAGATAGCACTAAGTGCGACTGTAGATATGAAAGAGAGAATATTGACTATATGATATAGTGGTGCAGTAAATATAATAAAGAAAGAGTTAAGTACGACGAAGAATTAAGGAAAAAAAGAATAAGGGATAAACGCAGTATTATTATATGGATTAAAGAGGAAAATTGAGACGCAGTCTGAATAACTTATAACTATCAAGAAAATAGGAAAAATAGTGTAACAACCTGAAGTTAATTATTCTTGTGCCACATAACCTTGAAAGACAGGTTGAAAAAAATATAAAATTTTATACAACGAATTGGCCTATCTAACAAAATATCTATTGAGGTACAAATTTATTAATGCATAATAGTTAATGTTATTTTATAAATAAAATAATTATATAATTATTACCTTATATTAAGATCTTCGTATACGACGTGACTACGTACGTTCAGATGGACACGGAAAGCGGAGAGTGGAGTAGAGAAGCATTAAAAGCCATCCAATCAGAATCGGGCCTCCGCCCGATTCTGATTGGGTGGCTCCAGACAGCGCAAGATCTCCTAAGAACATCCCAGGGACGTCCTGAGGATGAAGAAACATCCCGAGGTCATCTTCAGGACATACTCTGAACGTTTCTTGGATACCTGTGTTGTTAGAGACTTTCTATAATATAAAGCAATTAGTCAAAAGCCGTAAGCAAATTGATCACATTTGATTGTTTTTTAAATAATCGACTGGGGTTGGTCAATTTGCTTACGACTTATGACTAATTGCTTATTGTAGAAGGAATATGTCCGATTAATGATTAAAATATTGTTGATAATATTAGAATATTTCCAGAATATTCGATAAATAAACTGAATATTATTGATGAATTACGTATATTCTAAAAATATGCGAAAAATAATATACTACGAAAAATATTATAGGGATATTCTCAGTATATTAGATATGTCTATAGTATATTTAGTATGAAAACAGTATATACGAATAATATCATGTGCTGTGTGGATTATCAATATTAATCTTTTAAAAAATGTTATAAGTATGAATATTTAATAAAGTTTAAAGAAATGTTTTGTTTCCAAAGAAATAAAATAAAAGATTATTAATAAAGATACTTGTAATAAATGATATTTGAAGAAATGATATTTGATGATTAATAAAGATATTTGTAATGAATGATACTTGAAGAAATGATTTGTAATAAAGGAAAGGATAATAAAGTAAATTGTATTTTTTAAATATTGTTTATTATTATTCGATTTCCTATGTCATATTATTCTGCACAAATTAAACGACATAATTGCTCACGACGATCTATTTCATTCTCTACTTCTCTAGGTGCATCATTCACTTCCACGTTGCGGTTTACAACTTCAATATCAGGATATTCATCATTTATTTGTTCTTCTAAATATTGTAAATCATTAATATCTGCAATATTATGTAGCACGCAACAGGCGTGTATGACCTGTACCATTCGCACTATGTTTCTTAACTTAAAGTGATATAACTGTCGAAAACGCTGTTTTAGACATCCAAATGCGTTTTCAATAATCACTCGTGAAGAACTTAATTTGCGATTGAAAGTTCTTTGTGCATGTGTCATATGTCCATTATCCCTGTATGGTACAATTAGTTGTTTCAAACAGGGTGTTTCAAACAGGTGATATGCACTATCACCCAATAAAAAATAATTATCTGTAAAAAGATTTGTAAGAAATAATGGTATCAATTTTTGTTATTAATTACCTTTGCGATATTATATTTCTTACCTTCACAAAGTTCGGCAAATCGTTGCGAATTGGTGAATTTCAAAATACCCGTGCGTCATGCACTGAGCCCGGATATCCTATGAAAATATCCATGAATTTCATTTTATGATTTACAATTCCCTGAACATGTAATGAAAAATAATGTTTTCGGTTAACATATGAATCAGAATTTTGTAATGGTCGATCAATTCGGATATGAGAACCATCAATAGCACCTACAACAATGTCAAATATAAATAATGCATCACTATGTAATAAAAAAATAGTTAAAAAATATATGAATATAAATATGTTACCTATTACACCAGGGAATCCTTTTTCTCTTTCGTAAAAAGCTGCAGTTTCCATTTTTTCCATTTTTTCAACTGCAGTTGGATATTTTATAATATTAGACATAATAGAGATTATAAAATCTGTAACTCTAGTAATAATATTATACAAGGTATTAAGTGTTATCCCAGTGTTATCTGTCGGCAACATCTCTGTATGATGCATGCCCTATAAACCATAAATAAGTCAATATATGTTTTTCGGCTGTAATTTTAGAGCCTACAAGATCTATAAGAAAATACACTTTAAGTTATACATATAACATAGAATATATTATTTTGTTAAAAAGTAAATTACGCAGACAGCACTAATGTCCAAAACTGGGACATAAGACATCTTTCAGATCTTTTTAAGATATCTAGTCGTAAGATGTCTAAAAGATGTCTTATTCCCGTTTCAGACATTCTGTCTGAGTATTTTCTTTCCAACCTATATCACATATAAGTTATCTAAACTTTTCTGCAAACCAAACTTAAAGACAATCAAAATTTTTATTATAATACTTACTTTCCATGGAAGTAAATATTTCCGAAACTCTGAATTGGTCTATTAAACTGTATGTTATTTGTCGTGATATGCGGAAGTGCATTATAAAATCCATATCATTGTAATTATGTACAATATTTTCGTACAATCGTTAATTATGTACATAATTAACAATTTTAATATGTGCAATTCGTTGAATTATACCTAAAATTGGGTGTAATATTAATATATTTTGATCTACAAATTTAATATAAGTTATAGTTAATTTTTAGTTTTTTCTTGAAATTTATAATATAAATTAATAATATAATAAAATTTATTGTATATTTAATATTACCGTATATTTCATATTACCGTCATCATTTTCATCTACGATAGGTTGTAACGGTGGTATTATCATAAAATCTTCATCTGAAGAATCAAATAATAATGCGTAATGCGCCATATTGCTTACTGCACTTTAATGTTCTTTTATCATTGGTGCCACTTCTGCACTGATGTAAACCAGTGTTATATTTGATTGCCCCAGTCTGTCCTAGTTCAGTTCAGTACAGATCTAGTGCAGTTTACGTGCTTTGAAAAAGAACAAACCTTCTACCAGACTGTCGTACTGTAAGGCCTCTTGCACAATGCCAGGCAACAAGCAATAAGAATAAAAATAGACCAATCACAATCGACTATTACAAGAATAATCTATTATGATTGGTCTATTTTTATTTTTATTGCCTGTTGCCTGGCATTGTGCAAAGGGCTTAAGAGTTGCGAGATAAATCAATTGTACATGCGATTATAATTTGGCGATCTGTCGAGAACAGCGTTGGAATCAATGCGTCGAGGGAAGGAGGTCTGGCGGGAGATATATAATTTCCGAAACCAGAAAAAGGGAGGACTTTTGTCGTAAAGAACGTGGATAGAAAGATCGTCGTGCGAACATATAAAGGATATCGTTGTCGCTATTCTTGTCGAACTTTAGTTTAAGTGCGTTGTACGATATTAGTACCATTGTGTTATCAATATATCTTTATTATTATTGTACATATGTATTTTGCTCATTTCTTTATTGACACACCTAACCGCGAGAAGAGTCGGAGTAAAAACAGGACTTACAGTACTTTTCGTCGAGAAAGAATTACTTTTGTCTTGATCAAGTCAGAAGATCCGTCTGCGTGTAAAGCCAGCGGCACACGGTGCTTGTTTTCGTGCTGGATTGCTTGCTGGATGAAAATATTGCGTTGTGATTGGTACATTTCCGAAGATGGATGGAAATGCACCAATCAGAACGCAGTATTTTCATCCAGCAAGCAATTCAGCACGAAGACAAGCACCGTGTGCCGCTGGCTTAAGATCACTTCGTAATTATTAGTACTGTAAGAATTAGCAGAGGGCAGCACCGCCTTGGAGCACGGTACGAAGGCGTAATCCGGGAGCGTAAGGCGGGAAGGAGAAAAACAAAGGATAAAAAGAAGAGATCTCCGGTCTAAAGAGAGAGAGTTTTGTCATTAGGAAAAGAGAGAGCTTTGTCGTTAGGAAAAGAGAAAGCTTTGTCGATAGGCCGAGAGTGAGCTGAGAGTCGGAATAGAGACAAGACGTCGCGAATCGAACATAGTAGAGGTAGATAGAAAGATAGTCGAGAGAGATCTTCTTCTTCTTCACAATTGGCCCGGAGCTAGATGTTCCATTAGCCAGTCTTATTGGTGAGATTTCTTATATTATATCTTTTTCCCTATGCTGTCTAGAAAATTTTCCAGAATAAAAAATGCTCTGGGGCCCTATTCTTGAATTCATGCGATAATTATCGCATGCGGAAAATATCGCACGGTCAGTATCGTATGCGACTTCAGAATGGTATTCTCAGCTATCATGCGATATGAGGTGTGCGATAAATTTCATATGCGATAAAAGCTGTGTTCCGAAAGTCACTGCGTACTGAACATCTATAGTTTATGTCGCGTATTTTCTTGAATATTGGTAGCGAATTTCGGAACTCATCCTAAATCTAAACAACGTAGCTCAACTCTTTACAAAAATTTCTGTGATATATTTTATTTGAAGTGCAAATTTGGTTATAGTTAAAAAAATATTAATAGTCAACATTGATTTAAAATGACATTGGCGTCAAATGAAGTAAAGAAACTATGTACATATGTTAATGAAGAACAGAAAAGTTTGCTGGTTGATAAGTATTATTTTCAATATATAAGTCTAATGAAATTTGCTTTAAACTATCAGTCAACTCAGCTTATTTATATTAAATTGAGCTTATTATATTAAACTGAGCTTATTTATATTAAAAATTTGCAACTTGTATTTAAAGACATTTAATGGGTCAACAAATAATGAGTAATAGCTGTTTGACAGACTGATAGTAACTATTATTTATTAATCTTTCAGTACTCTTTTTAGTGCTCTATAATATATATTTGAAGTGCAGAATTTATGCATAAACATCCAGAACTACATAGTGGAAAGTTTTCTGCAATGTTTACTTATAAACATGCTCAAAAATTATGGGAAAAAATAACAGCAGAATTACATGAGATACCTGGTGCACAAAAAGAGTGGAAACAATGGTGAAAGGTATGTATTATATTGACAAATACCTAGATTTCTTTGTACAGAAAAAAGATTATATACTTTAAATAATCTGATTGTCTACTTTGTGTCCATATCATAGACTTGGCAAGACATACGAAGTTCTATTAAAGCCAAAAATATTTTGATCAAGAATCATGCAAAAGCAACTGGTGGAGGACCTATGTCAAGTCAGGTTTTAACCGAAATGGATCAAAATGTCCTGGCAATTATGGGTACAACGGTCGTGGGAGAATATAAGACAGTACAAGAATCCAATGTGCAAATTGTAAGCATCTTTGTTGTATTGTATTATAATATCAGAAATATATTAAGAAATTATAATATTAAATATTAACAGAAAGTATGCGCATACATTGATATTTTTTGCAGGAGTGGATAGATGATTCAATTTTATGTGAAATCGATGATGATGAAAATAGGGACAATTTTCCCATAAAATACAAAAGTCAAGAGATAACGCAGCAATCTGTGTCACAACAGTCATTATCTTCTCAAGATTATTACAGTATATTGGAAGAAAATTCACCAGAAGAAAACTTAAACAATGATAATGACAATAACAATAGGAAATCTTTAAAAAAATGGAAACAACTGCACTAGAAACACCATTAGTGTAGTCAACAACATATCAGATATTTCTGTAACACCAACTTCAAAATCGAGTGGCATACAAAGAGGTGTTAAAAGAATTTTTGCTGCACAAAGATATGATAAATCAATTGAACAAACTGAAAAGTTAGCGAAAATTTCGCAAGAAGATAGCGAGATACGAAAATCGTATTACGCACAAAAATTAAAACTTTATTAGAAGAAAATAGCTCTGAAAGAAAAAGATATCTATCAAAGAATATATATGCACATTGCTGGAGCAATTAGTAAAAAAAAGCAATTAAAGAGTTACAGATATAAGAGGCTGTGAAAATGACATTAGTGTATTCACAAAGAAATAAATGTTCCTATAAGCTGTTGATGTGTACAAATTGTTACATAAGTTAAAAAACTAAGATAAGAGATTTATTTTATGTTCATTTTGTGTATTTGCTATTATAAAAGAAAAACTTAAAGATAAGACATTTATTTTATGTTCATTTTATATGTTTGTTATTATAAAGAACATTGCCAAAACAAATAAAGCAAATGTTTACAAAAATATTATTTTTTGCCAAAACTTGTTACAATAATAAAATACAAATATGTGCATATATAATACATGTATAAAAAGTACAAAATATTGTCAGGAGAAATACTGTCTTATTAGATTATTGCGAATTTTTCGTTCAGCTATCAGTTCGTTATTTCTATTTAACATATTTAATATATCTATCCCGGGTTCATTTACACCATCTATAACATTCATACCAAAATCCAATACTTCATGATCTGCTTCGGGTGAAGGCACGTTGTCGTGAATGCACATATTATGTAACACGGTACAAGCATTGATAATTTTCGAGCATACATCTGGTAATGTAAAATTCTATGTTTCAACAAGCAACGAAATCTCATCTTCAAGACACCATTGCAACGTTCAATAAGTGATCTAGTGCTCTTTTGCCGATCATTGTATCTTCTTGTTCCAATATTAGGATTATTGTCCATTATTGGAGTCATCATCCAAGGTCTAAGAGCATAACCAGAATCACCTGTAAAGTAATATAATGTTATATATTGTAACTAAAAACAATATTGAATAATCACTTTGACGATTATATATTACCTAATAAAAAAAAGCTGTGTCCACGATTGTAAATATCTTGCATAATAGGAAAAACATTACTATTATTCCAGATATACGAATCGTGAGTACTTCCAGAATATCTGGCATTAACATTCATTATCCTAAGATCAGAATCACATATCTGCAAAGAAAGCTATATTTGTATTATTTGTATAATAATATATCTAATTGAATTGTGTTAATGTACAATCTTACCAATTGTACATTAATAGAATGATATCCTTTTCTATTTATATATACAGGGTGTTTGATAGCTGATCATGCAGACGAAAGTTGGAGATAGATTGGGTGTAGCCGAGAAGAAAAGTCATGTACCATAATGTCAAATTGGCAATAGTTATCGAGTTATTAATTAAAACATATGAGCCAACGAGCGCGTAGAGAGCGGAGGGCGACCGCAGTAAGCACGTAGACATTTGATACAGGCGGAGTCAGCGAGTGGCGATAGGCGAGCGCGCGGCGAGGGTAAACGACAAGAGGCGAACGCGCGCGACGAGGAGCGAGAGAGCGCGAACGACGAGGAGCGAGCGAGTGCAAGCGACAAGAGGCAAGCGAGCGCGACGAAGAGCGAGCGAGCGCGAACGACGAGGAGCGAGCGAGCTATAAGGAAAAAGCTATAAAGGAAAAGCTCGCTCGCTCGCGATCGCTCCTCGTCGCGCGCGATCGCCTTTTGTCGCTTACGTTGCCCCTCGCCGCGCGCGCTTGCCTATCGCCACTCGCTGACTCCGCTGTATCAAATGTCTACGTGCTTACTGCCGCCGCCCTCCGCTCTCTACGCGCTCGTTGGCTCATATGTTTTAATTAATAACTCGATAACTATTGGCAATTTGACATTATGGTACATGACTTTTCTTCTCGGCTACACCCAATCTATCTCCAACTTTCGTCTGCATGATCAGCTATCAAACACCCTGTATATATATATATATATGTTCAGGATAATTCTCTCATCTTCTTTAGGAGGTGAAACAATTGCAACATCCGTGTCTATACAATCAATCGCTCCAGGGAAACGATGATTAATCCAAAATCTATATATATGTACACTGTCCGTCATTAATTCGTTTCGTTCCCCTAGCAAATTTCTATAGAATGTGTTACACATCCTATATACATTCACTAAGGGAATGGAATAAATTAATGACGGGTACTGTGCATATAACATAATCTATATATACATATAATATAAATAATATACATAAGTAAATACGTATGATTATATTATAAATGTATATAAATATACACAATGGGTGCTTTCCATTTAGCGACACAAATCAACACAAATATCATTCTATCTTTTTCTCATAAAATGTAGAACAAAGATAAAATGATGTTTGAGTCAACTTGTGTCGCTAAATGGAAAGTACCCAATGTCATAAGTCCGCATTCTGAGCTCTCTTTTTTATCGCTAAAAATGCCTCTAAAAGTGGCTTATAGCCAATCACAAGCGTTATATGCCACTTTTAGAGGCGCTTTTATCAATAAAAGGGAGCTCAGAATACAGGTCATAGAGTCTATCAGACAGACCATAATTATATACACATTATCCTATTTAATTTTTCTGAATATATACTAACTTGTTACGTAGTTGTTGCAGCTTCTGAAGGGTGTTAGGAAAACACACCTTTTTTTTTTGTAAACGCAGAGGAAACCCTTCATGAGTACCCTCTGCCCCCTGGGAGGGGCAGAGGATTATGAGAGACTCTTATTCACTAAAACCTCTGCGGGATGTCTACCAGTCGGACCGAGATGGGGGGAGTCAGGGGAACTGCGCCAGCATTCCCTCCCCGGTACCCCGGCCAGGGCTCGTTGTCGAGCCCCACGCCCACGTGCTGCGCCCCCTTCTCCCTAAGGACAAGGTTCAGGGCGTAGCGCCCCGGTCGGCTAGACCGACCGGGTTGGCCTTCTGGTTACGATTACGGGAGAGAGGGAACACTCACACTCCCTCCCCGCCCTCTCCCGTTCGGAGTTCCCACTCCGGAGAGGGCGGAAGAGTGAAGCCCTTCCCCAGAGGGCCTCGCTCCCCCCTTTCCTACCTCTACCGACACGCGAGGGAGTGTGGGCGGGGTTCACACCCCCCTCCCAACGTCCCTCCCCCGCGCGTCCGAAGCCGGCCCCGAGGCGGCCGAAGGGGCGGTCTCCGGATAACCGGTCGCCGCCTCACCTCGGTCGGCGCCACCTCGGGGTCGCTGCCATCTCCCGGGGAGCGCCGCCTTCCTGCGGTCGGGGTTGGGCCGGCGCTTCTACTCGGCGGCCTCTTTCTGGGACATGACGTCTTTGCAGAAGGAGGCCGCCGCCCCCCATACTTCCTCGCTCCCGCACATGGCCCGAACCATGCGCGGGAGCGAGATATCCTCCGTATTGCATCTCATTACCCGGGCCAGGACTCGGCGCTCCTGGCTCCACGCCTCGCATTCCACGAGGGTGTGCCGTGTCGAGTCCTCCGGCTCCGGGCAGTGATGACACTCGGTGGTATTCTTCTTCCCTATTCGGTGCAGGTACCTCCCAAAGCATCCGTGCCCGGTCAGCACCTGCACCATGTGGAAGGAGAGTCCGCGCCCCCTCCTGCCCACCATTTCCGGTAGGCAGGGGCGGACAGCTTCGGCCGTTTGGCGACCGAATCCTCGCGGATCAGCCAGTTCGGCCGACCACTTGTCGAGGATCCAGTCACTGGCCTGGGTCTTCAGGGCCCTCAGGTCCCTGGCCGATGGTCCTTCCCCCCTTTCGCGGAGCTCCTTTATTCGCCAATACAGGAGATACTTCTCCTTGGCGAGGAGCTCCACTGGGGGGAGCCAGCCAGGGTGGCGGCCGCCATATGTGAGACGGTAGCGTACTCCCGGATCGCCCTCACTAGCACCGGCCGCGTGGCCTGCCGAAGCAGGTCCCGGTTGCGGCGGATTGCCAGGAGTCGGGGCGCCCATATAGGCGCCCCGTATAGGGCGACCGAGAGTACGACGCCCACGTATAGGCGGCGAGCCCGCCATCCAGGGCCCCCCTGGATGGTCTGCATAAGGCCGGCCAATGCCGTGCCTACCTTGCGGACCCGGGGGGCTAGGCGCCTGAAGTGGGCCCCGAAATTCCACCGGTTGTCCAGCGTCAAGCCCAGATATTTCATCGTGGACTCGACGCGGATGCGGACACCGTCCACCAGGACCCGGGCCCGTCGCGGCCTCCCCTGACCCTGTCCATGGAAAAGCATGGCTTGGGTCTTCTGGGGGGCCACTTTGAGCCCGAGGTCACTGATGGTTCCCACCACCGAGTGTAGAGCTGCCTCCACTCTGAGGCGAGCCTCCCCCCAATCCTCCCCCTCGGCCAGCACCAACGTGTTGTCTGCGTAACAGACCACGTGGCAGCCGGGGAGGAGGGGAGTTCGCAGCACCCGGTCGAACGCGATGTTCCATAGCAGAGGGCCCAGCATGGATCCCTGCGGAACACCGCGTTCCATTTGCCGCCGGCCTTCAACCCCGCCTCTTCCCGTGTAGGCGAGGTCTCTGTCCCTGAAATAAGCCGCCAGGATACGCTGGAGATAGGCGGGAACACCGTGCTCCAACGCCCGTCCTATCTCCGGCCAGGGCAGGGTGTTGAACGCGTTAGTGATATCCAACGATACCGCGAGCAACACCCCGCCCCCCTCCTCCACGACGGTACGGGTCAGGTCCCGGACGCACTGGAGCGCATCCAGCGTCAATCGTCCGGGCCTGAACCCGTACTGGTTGTTGTGGAGGTCTGGCCCTTCCAGGGACAGGTACTGGACGAGGCGGTCCGCGATAATGCGTTCCAGTATCTTGCCCGCCTCGTCCAGTAGGCAAATCGGCCTGTAGGTCGGCGGCCCACCGGGCACCTTACTCTCCTTGGGGAGGAGGACCAACTTGGCCCTCCTCTATTCTTGGGGGAAGACTCCCTCCCTGAGGCACCCTTCTAATGCCTCCCGTGTGGTGGCGGGTAGATTTTCGTCGCTGAGGGCGAGAGCCCAGGCGCGGCCTGGAATTCCGTTGGGGCTAAGGGCTTTGCCCTTGGCCCCGAGCTTCTTCCTGGGCCTGGTGAACTCCTCCGGCGAGATCCCCAGGTCCTCGTCCCAGTCCCCGTCCTGAACCTCAGGAACGGGGATTCTGGGGGGGGCCCTCTGCCCTCGGAAAGAGGGTATCGAGGAGCCCCCTGAGGTCCTGGGGATCCATGGACTCCGTCGGCGGGGGCGTCCACGGACGTATCTTCCCGACAGTCCGCTTGTAC